TTTGATTATCGGAGACGCATTTCAATGGACTTGATTACGAACAATGCATGACGTAAATTTCACCAGGAAATTCCGCAGTGTGCTCTCGCAATCATGGACTTAGTCATTTTTACAAGGTTCGCCATTTTTGATGTCACGTGATAATTATGTAAACAATGTCTGTCCAGTTTGTGCGAACTTGCACCTCTATACTTAGTCTTTTGATATATATAACCTAAATTACTGTTCTGAACGAGACAACAGACAGAGAATGTTTTATTTAAAAATCTCACAAAACCTTCTCGCTACCTTAAAATGATATTCAACATTTATTCACAAATGTTGTCACTCAGCAATATAACCAATAGTGTTGAAATCTAAAATTTATTTCATTGCTCTGTTCTTCTGCTCTACCCACTACAGATATTCAGCAGCAATCCAAATCTGAAAATAAAGAATAAAAAATCATTTAGTAAAATAAAAGAGAAAGTGAAGCATGTGACTTAAAATTGAAATAAATGATGGTGAAAATATGATGCATGGTCATGAAAGTCTTCAAAAACATAAGGCATTCTGATTGGCTGGATAGTTGTGTATTAGCATTGGGTATAATCTCTAAAATTTCCCATCTTTGCTGGGATAAAATAATGATGGGATTAGGTGAAATGTTATTCATGTCAAAAATAAAGTAATATGGACCAAAAGCATAATTAGTAATTGAGGAATAATTGGCTGTTCTAGTATCAACAGAAATTAGATGTAATACAATATATATGACTCTTCCAAAATCAAAATATATGGTCAGAAATTAAACGGGATATGCTATTCATGCATTTTTTGTATTCAAACTAAATTTTATTTGTCCAGGCTCATGTACGGAGATATAGTAGTATGGTCAAAAAGCAAGATTGCAGGCAGTCAACCATCTTTAATCTGATTTAATCCGATTGTGCTACTAATTGTCATGAACATGTATGCAAAAATGAATAACATTAAGAGAAAAAAAAAACATGTCAGTGATACATTTTGAAAAACACGAATAATCATGGACATGTATCTCAACATGTATAATCTTTGTATCAAATTTGAACAAAAACCAACAAATTCTGTCCAAGATACCACATTTTTCGAAAAAACAAGAAGAATGCCAGTCAGCCATTTTTGATCTGACTATAAACCAAACTGACATGGACATGTATTCCAACATGCATGATGAATGTGCCAAATATGAATGAAAGATCCCTAAACCTTGGAGATATAGTGGTATGAAAAAAAAAGCAAGATGGCTGCCAATCGACCATACTTGATCTGATTATGAATCAAACTGACATGGACATGTAATCTAAAATGTACAATGTATGTAACAAATTTAAATGAAAACGACAAACCAATGTCCATGATACCACATTTTCAAAAAACTAGATGGCTGCTAGTCGTCCATCTTTGATCTGATCACAAAACAAATCGTCATAGACATATATCCTGTAATATTTATATATATATATAATGTATGTACTAAATTTGAACAAAAACTGCATAAGATACCACATTTTCAAAATGGCTGCCAGTCAGCCATCTAGGATTGAATCATGAAACCACTGCATGTGCATATGTCCCAGATTGAGTACTAGGCACATGCAAAGAATGAACAGATTTAGTCCACAGGGTTCTGAAATATAACTCCAGATGGACGGACAGAGACCAAATTATAAGTCCCTGTTTTGGACTTTGTTTGAACAGGGAAAAATAAAATGAAAGAAAGTTTAGAAAGAACTCCTGTGTGCTGAATGTATTGGAGACATGAAGTACAACTAAGTAATACTATATTTACTATATTAGAAACAAATCTTCATTACACATAAAAAGCATTGAATTGAATGCAAAATCATTAAAATATGTCTTATTTTGACCATATACTGGATTCTGCCATAAATTCGTCCTGAGCCATTAAACGGCAGTTTGGGTTTTCAAAAAAATAAAGTGGGACCAAGAAATGGGACCAAGGATGATTTTTCAGCAGTTTTTTATGGCGTTATTTTAATCTTTCCTGGTGCCTAAAAGTGTCATCGTAGTCATTGACGCCTATTCAAGCGTATGACGTTTATTGGGACTGTTATCACTGTAAACAATGTTAAATTATTCTTCAAATGATCAGTTTTTTTTTTTATTTGAAAACAAATCATGCCACTTCCCCATCAAAATCCAAGGCAAAAGGTCGAACAACAACATCGACAAATCTCTTCCGCGTTGCGTTCAATAATATTAACATGTTATTTTTTTGATTGGGTAATTAGCGATTTGACCTGCCAGGTCAAAGAACACCGTCCCAGGTCAAAACATGGCGAATATTCATTTCTACAGCATCGAGCGGTTAAAATGCGACCGGAATCATTTGCTTACGATGAAATAAGTTAAAATTTATTTGCATTTCATAACAATTCAACGAATTTATATTTTGACTGTTATTACTAGATAATAATCAACAACAGCACTCATTTGCTACTAAGCAATGCAGTTGTGTTTGTTTTTATTTAAAACTTCTTTTAGAATACACATGTATACTTTTGTTACTAATAAATAACATAGTTGAACTCTGGTGACCTTGCCCTTTGTTATATAATTCCCTTTATCATAGTTTGTTTCAATATAAATATGCATTGTCATAATTAATTTTGAATACAAACAAGTTTTGGGGTTGAACCAACAGTGGGGAATCAGTCTACCGAATGTCCTTAAAAGATGTAAATATCTTACAAAAACATTGGTGCCTTATTTGTTTAATTATTTTAAGGAACATAATTTCCAGCTTTATTGAAAGTAATTGAGATATTTTAGAATAAAAACAAATGTCTCATTGCAAAAAAAAGTGCTGCATTTAGATGTGAATAGATTCATAAAACATGCAAGATAACAGAAAAATTTAGCTGGCTTTAGTATTTTGTACAGGTGTCTGTCAAAAATGAATGATTCACTGAGACAAATATGAACTGCCTCATTGTGTGACTACTGTATTATATGAAAAGTAAAAAAAAACACCCTTTATGAATAGCTATCATGTTGCAAGCTCTGCTTTGTATGCAAATCAACTTAAATAGTTGGTGTCCAGTGGAGGGAGAAGTCAACAGTACTGTTGCCTCCTGAGAAACTTCATCTTCAAACACTGCAATCTCTGAAGTGCGTTTTTAAACTAGTATTATAAAAACTCTATCATTCTGTTCTAATAGCTGAAACATATTCCTGTGAGTTTTCATTTGTCGAATGAACTGTTTGTCAAATACAGAATACATATATTTTAGAATAGTTTTCTTTTTAAAATGTGGATGAAATGTTTTGCTTTTAATGTATTTTTTATGTATTGTTTTTGATTTGATAACTTTTGACTAAACAGATTTTCTATTAGCTTCAGATCTTGATCAAAGTTTGGCACCCAGTTCATAGCAGTTCTTATTTTGATTTTCTGACATCTTGTTTTCTGTAAAGATTTTATTGGTAGGTTTGCAAATGTGTATCAGACTGTGCAAAATCTCCATGAGTTGGTTTTGAAACCCAGTATGGGATTCTGAGATACATTACCAAGGATATTATTACAAGATAAATCATTTGCTTCATTGAACACAGACAACAATGCATATTTCCACTGAGATCAGTGACCTTTGATGTGTATCACCAGTGATCAGTCAAGTAGAAACAGTCAAAATATTTTATCAGATTTTCTCAATTTTTGCATGATATTTTCATACAGGACATCTGTTGTTCAAACTCAGGGAAGACTTTATACTGATGAATAAGGTGACCAAGTTTGATAAAGTTTGGAATAGAATTAGTAAAGTTATTATGCACACAATAACAATTATTAATGACGATGACGACAACAACAACGACGACGACGACAACGCCGGACAAAATTTTTCCCTCAATATACCTTTCCCTTCCATCTTTGATGGTACGGGCAAGGTAAAAACTCAATCACAACCGATTCCACAGAACTGTTCGCTAATGTTCGACTATTTGCAAACAAATTATGACTCGGATATCTAGCGAATACCGCAATTACTGCAGTTTGTATATGGCACATCCTACTTCAGACGTCATAGGCTGCAAACAGAGTACATTCAATAATTCAAGCAGATATCTACCTAAACAAATTCAAACACAGATGGTGCTCATGCATGTCGAAATTTCTACAAGAAGAAACAAAGTTCAATATTACACAGTAAAAGTAAATATTGACTATGCGGTAAATAGAGAGACTATTCTAGGGACAAGAAACCAACAAGATGGCAGACTGACGACGTACCGAGACAGCATCTTCCGTAACTTAATCGTTACGGTGAAGTACAATTCAGCACGGAGAACTGAACGTGTCTTACCTGCATAAGGTACTCGTCCTTTAGTGATTATTTCAAACATCAATATTCCAAACGACCAGACGTCAGATTTAATGGTAAACCGCTGATAGTTAGCTGCTTCTGGCGCCGTCCATTTCACTGGAAACTTCGTGTCTTAAATATAAATAAATACAATTATTAATTACTAAATTAATAATTCAATTATGTTATTAGATGGTTGAATCAACCGACTACAAATTGTTCATAATTTACATACTGGGAAAAACATGATGGCGGATTAGATGACGTAGTCGGACATTGTATCACGTGATCGCATTGAAACACTCAAATGCATGCAATATACAATACCTCTTTGTGCAATGTATTCTCCGTTTATTAGTCGAGTCAGTCCAAAGTCGGCAACTTTACAGAGATTATTCTCTCCAACGAGAACATTCCTAGCAGCTAAGTCTCTATGAATATAATTATTGGCCTCCAGATATTGCATTCCTGATGCCACCTGGGATACATAATTGAACACTTGTTAATTGCAAGTTTAAAGAAACCGGGAAAGTCATTGCATTCAAAAGGTCAAATTATCAGTATGTACTATTCGAGAGTTACACGTTCAAATGCAGACATAAACATATGCTACATCTTCTAGGTTTACCTGTGCCATCATGTCTATGAGTTGTCCCTCAGTAAGCATCCGCTCCTCGTCACGCTCATTCCTAAGATATTCAAGTAAACTGCCATTGCTCATTAATTCTGTGACGATGTAAATAGGTTCCTGAAAAGAGACGATATAAGGTAAGTAAAAAATGGAGAAAAGAAGCGACGTGACGCAATATAGAAGACAGTATGATTTGAGATAAAAACGCCATGGTTAGAAAATTATAGAGTGACCTAGAAGCGATCAGATGTCAGAACAAAGAAAAGTAACGGTGTGACGTAAAAAAACGTCTAAAATGGAAAACCAGCAAAGCAAAAAAATAATAACTTAAATATATCTGATTATCTCTATATTTACTTTACTGTAAATACAAGTTATTTGGAATATTTGAAAACTTACTCTGTCTGAGCAGACTGCAAGAAGTTGTAGTAAATGATCGTGTCGCAGATTCTTCATTATCTCCGCTTCTTTTAAAAATTCCTGTGGGAACATAGATCCTGCCTTCATGCATTTAACAGCGACTGGCGTCCGCCGATTCCAGACTCCTACAACAGTTTGAAATGTAACATATAAAGTATAATAAACGCAGTATACTTTTGAAGAGTAAAACACAGAGGGCGCTCGTCTATTTATTACGACGGGCCTAACGTTACACACGATAAGATGCATTGCAATCGAGACGCTATATACGTTGTGTTGACACAAGGCGGAGTCGTAGTTGACACACATGAAATTGTGGAATATGATTCGTATAAGGATGTGTAATGTTATTAATAATAATATTATATTTCTTTCATTCATTCATCAATAGTCAATGCATGGGCACATACCTTTGAATACCTCCCCGAACTGGCCATCACCGATACGTTTTTGTAGTTGTATCGACTCTCTTGGTGTCTCCCACGTGATGCCAGGCACCATTGGTGTCATTTTGGCACAAGGCTCGACTAGCCTGGTCGGCAGACCGTGTGGTGCATCTAAAGAGGGAATGAAAGTACGGTATAAAATATGTATAAGACTGGTGATAATGTCGTCATTTCACGTCCCCGTAAGGTACAACTTACTATATAACCGTATTTTGTTTCTCTGAGGCATGTTTTTACATTTTTATCTTTAGTGTCTAAATTTACACCACTTGATGAGGGAAGAACGCTGCAAAAAAATCTTTTATGAAATTGTAGAACTTTTTCGATGTATTTTTAAAGTTATTGTTCATACTTGAGTCGAGTTTTAAATAGCGGCTTTCACTCATATTTCAAAATAAATGCAGTGCCAAAATACCGAGAATAATTTTTGTAATTTACTAGTACATCTAATTTATAATTATGAAAATTATCATTCGTTATCAAATATTTGTAATGTATTTTTGAATTTTATTGTCAAAATCAGTTTTGTGTTCATTTTTGTCTTTAAAAAAATCTAGAGAATGGAAGATGCCATAGATGCCCAAAAGAAATGACAGTTTTGTGTAGTGACCGTATATTTGTTGGATCTGAATATTTATAGTAAATCTAACAAATTTAAATTATATTTCAAGGAAGTTGAATTGTGAAAAATATTACGATTGGTTTTCATTGTCGTCAATTGTTACATACATGTGTGAGTTATATTTTAGTTATAATCATACTATGACGTCATACAAAGACAGACGCTCAATATATAATGTAGACCACGGTTACTAAAACCGTGTGTGGACCAAGGATACTCACCTTTGTAATAAAAAACTAGATCTTGTAAAGACGCAAATGTCATTTTCGGAGAAATGTAAAATCCCCCTTTGTCTAAAGCTCGTATTTTAAAATGTTTAACGACTTTGCCGGTACTGAGATCATGGTCCAGTAGGGACAGCGTATAGCAACCTAGCGACAACGACACAAAGAAAACACAAATTGTAAATTACAAGTAATAACCAGTATACCTAATTAATTAATTAATTAATGGATGAATGAATGAATGAATGAATTAATGAATACATAAATAAATAAATAAATAAATAAATAAATAAATAAATAAATAAATAAATAAATAAATAAATAAATAAATAAATAAATAAATAAATAAATAAATAAATAAATAAATAAATAAATAAATAAATAAATAAATAAATAAATAAATAAATAAATAAATAAATAAATAAATAAATAAATGAATAAATAAATAAATTAATTAATTAATTAATTAATAAATTAATTTATTTATTTACCGGGAAATCTTTCACTTTCTCTGATTAGGAATGCACCTCTTTCACTAAAGCGTGACATGAGCCCTCTTTCAGCTTCCCGTCTGTTAATGTCGCCAAAAAACCACCTAAAACAAACAATAATAGCAAATAAGAACTAAATGAATACACATAGGATCAAGTGTTGAATGTGGGGGATATGCGCACTGAACTATGGGAACAAATCATATGAATTTAATATTGATGTTTGATACTCCATGTCGATGACCAAATTGCATTAGTGATACATCAGAAACTAAACATGCTGTCCTTCAATTACACTGAACATTGTCACTAATACGCAGTATAAAACACTTTCGCTATGATCATCGGTAGAATATCAGTACACTTATACTTAAAATAACACATGTTCAAGTTCGCTGCACTGGCAGCTACTCTGTTGTTAACCCCGTTAGTGCCAAAATCAACTTTTCACAAAATAAATAAATTTTGAACAAAATTTGTAGCCAGTGAGACATTATGGTCTAAAATTAACTAAGAAATGATAGAAAAGTACATAAAAATCAGAAAAATGTGACGCCAACATTTTGGCGGGGAAAATGATAGCGTTTAATAAAAAGTAGTGTCTACATTTGGGATTTGTACATATAATTTGAAGTTACTCAGTAACAGGTCAATAAAACTCACTTCTGTGACTTCATGTTAACTTCCTCCTCGACATAGTTACTAGGAATATAGCCTTCTCTGCTCGTTGACAATAATGTTGCTATCCACCATGGACCTTGGCTGTAGAGAAACCAAACACAGGCAAATTAAATTTGATTTGTATAATCATAGGAATTATGAACAATATGTACTGCTGTTATCGGTGGCAGTCTTTAATATATAATCTTTTGAATTAGTAAAGACAACGTTTTCTTTGGGCAAGCATGGACAAACATTTGCGCATGCGTCAGATGGCCATAGCATGTCATTGTTTACAAACAAACGTCTACCCATGAGCCTTTGCGTTTTTAGCGTGTGTTGTTATCGTCACTTGCGACTCAATTCCCGCGCCTGCGCAGGCGACGACCCTCCCACTTTAAATAACACACGTGCATTCAAAATTGCTGTGGCGTTGACATCATTTTCTAGCATTAGGCGTTGTAAAGATCTGCGCACTTTTTCCGCATTTGGTTTCACATGATGAATAAATCTCTATGATAAACTCGTGACTGCTGCTAACAGGAAGTAAACCACAGAAAAGTGTGTAAATCAAAGTAAAAAAATGTACTGCATGCACGCCCCGAACCCATTCACACGCACAGTCAGCTGGCGCACATCTGATATAATAAAATAAATGCGATATTTACTATATGGGGGCCGCCATCTTGAATGACGCATAAAACTAAATAAGAGACAAGTTGTGAAACGCGTTTTTCAGATTCCTACAAATCAGGACAAAAATACCAATCTTTCACAAAAATAAGGTCCGTTGGGGTTATAAT